CAGGGGGGGTCGTGTGTATGCATGCCCACACCCATAATTCAATGCGCACGCGCCCCCCCACTTTTGGCACGCGATGGTACGGTGGGCCCGGTAGGCCTGTTTTTTGCCCTCCCCAGGTTCGAGGCTTTCTTGGAACCTGGGGAGGAAGAAAATGGCCTTCACAATCCCCCCGGAAGACAGAAATGGCCCATTTGCCAACTTCCAGTGGGACCAGAAGGCCTGTTTTTTGCTCTTCCCAGGCTCCAGAGCCTTTCTAGGATCCTGGGGAGGGTGAAAACAGAATTCCCCCCCCGAGGCCCTCTGCAGGCCCATTTGCCAACTTCCAGTGGGCCCAGAAGGCCCAAAAATCAGCTGGCAGAGCTGAGCTCACATGCCCAGTGATATGGCTCTGCGTGCCACCTGTGGCACACGTGCCATAGATTCACCATCACGGTCCTATACCATTTCAGACAAATGGCTGTCCAGTTTCTTCTTGAAAACTTCCAGTGTTAGAGCATCCGTATCTTCTGAAGGCAAACCAGTCCACTAATTAATTGTTCTCACTGTCAGGAAATTTCTCCTTAGTTCTAGGTTTCTTCTCTCCCTGTTTAGTTTCCATCCACTGCTTCCTGTTTTGTCTTCAGGTGCTTTGGAGAATAGCTTGACTCTCTCTTCTTTGTGGCAGCCCCTTAGATATTGGAATCCTGCTATCACGTCATCCTTCTTTTCATTAATCTAGACATACCAAATTCCAGCAACCGTTCTTCACATGTTTTAGCCTCCAGTCCCCTAATGATCTTTGTTGATCTTCTCTGAACTCTTTTCTAGAGTCTCAACATCTTTTTTACACTGTGGTGAGCAAAACTGGATGCAATATTCCCAGCGGGGTCTTAATGCAAAAGAGTCAGGGGGCTCTCCTTCACTGCGAGCTGAAGCTTCATCCCATCTTCTACAATTCCTTTGGTGTTTACTTCCTTTGCCAGAAAGTCAATCCATCAATGTCGGATATAAAAAAGCTGACACAGAGAGCAGACTCAATTATGCACCATTCACAGATGAAGTTACAAATCTACTTGGGTCTTACTAAAGTAGTAGTGTATAGTGTTTATCAAATTTATTAAGGTTTCAGGGTCAAGTGTCGGATTAACTACTGTGGAAAATTGAATTTACTGACAAAAATTCAACCTCCTGTACAAGGCTCCAGAGTATAAGTAGCTTATCTAGCTCTGGATTTTCATGCAACTCTTTCTTCTTAAGCCAAAGTATGTTTTTTACCAGTTGCAAGTAGTCTTCGACTTACAACCATTCATTTAGAGACCGTTGGAAGTTATGACATTGCTGGGGAAAAAAAAAGACTTATGAGACAGTTGCAGCAGAGAGATAATGGGATAACTGGCCTATATTTATAACAGTTGCACTGGCTCAGAGTCACATAATCACTATTTGGGATATTCCTAGCCTGCTTCCAACAAGCAAAGCCAATGCGGGAAGCCGAATTCACTTGATGACCATGGCAAAAAGGTTATAAAATCGGGTGCAGTCCAGGGGTGAAATGCTCCCGGTTCGGTAGCGATGGCGGCGGGTGGTTTGGAGAACTGGTAGCAAAAATCCCTGTGGCCCCCACCCACCATGGCCAGCTGAGCTGCGCGATCATCAGAGGCTTTTTTTTTTACTTTGAAAAGCATTTTTTTCTACAACCTCTTCCGACGAAAAAATGCTTTTAAAAGTTAAAAAAAAAAAGCCTCTGATGATCGCGCGGCTCAGCTGGGATCATCAGAGGCTTTTCAAAGCATTTTTTTAACCACCTCTTCGGCCAAGAGGTTGCAGAAAAAAATGCTTTGAAAAGTCTCTGACGAGTTGCTTGATCGGCAGAGGCTTTTCAAAGCATTAGAAAAAATGCTTTGAAAAGTTAAAAAAAAAAAAGTTGGCCACGGCCACCCAGTCATATTAACACCCCCACCAAGCCATGCCCACAGAACCGGTAGTAACAAATTTTACATTTCACCCCTGGTGCAGTCTCATGATGACTCATTTAACTACTGCATTGCTTAGTGATGGAAGCTCCGGTTCCAGTTGTGGCCTGAAACTGAAGACGTATCCTAAACTTTCACTTCATTTTTGAGTATTTCTTTAATTGGCAAGCTAGGAAAAGTTTATGCAAATGCAGAAACATTTAACAGATCTTCCTATCTCATTCATCTCATCATCTCTTAAAATCTCCTGCCATGGGTCCATCAGAATGGTATAAATAGTCCACCTTCTCTTAATGTCTATGGAGATTCTCAATTATCCAGGTCATGGTTGTCCCAAAGGTGCTTTTTCAAGAGGGAACTGGGCTTTCTGGTTTTGCTTTGAAGATCTTTCGCTTCTCGTCCAAGAAGCTTCTTCATCTCTGTTGGTTCACACATTGGCTCCCACAGCACTGTCCTAGGCCTAAAGCTATTTACCCATGTAGTAAGCTGTATTGACATTATCCTTCTCATCTTCCCTAATACCTTCTCCTATTGATATCTATGATTTATCATTTGTTGTGTCTTATGTTTACTGCTTGTAACTATGATCCATGATCTATGACCTATCACTCTGTTGTTTGTATGTACACTGAGTGCTTATGCCCCAGAGACAAATTCCTTGTGTGTCCAATCACACTTGGCCAATAAAGAATTCTATTCCATTCCATTCCATTCCATTCCATTCCATTCCATTCCATTCCGTTTATTGGTTCGATTTATATGCCACCCTTTTCCGGAGACTCAGGGCGGCTTACAATGCATTAAGCAATTCTATTCTATTCTATTCTCCCTATCCTATCCAATCTTATCTCTATTCTTCTCCCTTCTCTTCTCTTCTCTTCTCTTCTCTTCTCTTCTCTTCTCTTCTCTCTCTCCTCTCCTCTCCTCTCCTCTCCTCCTCTCCCCTCCCCTCCCCTCCCCTCCTCTATCCCTATCCCTATCCCTATTCTCCTCTCCTCTCCTAATTAATTTCTATTCCTATTCCTGTAATGTTTGCTTAACAGATCCTGCAATATTTTTTGGGTAAAATCAGATCAATTGTGTGGGTGACCCGATTTATGATCATCACAAGTCATGACTATGATGGGCAGTCTTCATTATGGTCTTAACTCGAGGACTACCTGTAGCCAAATAATGGACCACATTTTTAAGTTGCTCCCTAAATAACCGATGAAGCCAGAATCTGCATCTCTGTCCATCAAACCAGTGTCACAAAACGACCACCTGGGTGACCTGCCAAGGTTTCGGATGACCCGCTAGAGAGTTTCCAACATTTGGAACCAAGTCGTTGGTTTTTACTGTGAGAAGAGGAAAAATCACACAGTTGCAGGGCAAAGATAATAAGTCTACAGATAATATCAAGTCAGTGAAATGTAGTTTTCATTCTGATCCTGCTCGCTTTTTTGAAGGCAGCCTTTTGTGCATGGGTCCGTGCTCTCTTCTGCACCAGATTCGATATCGATGCAAAAACAAAATTTTCTTTTGAGCTACCACGGAGAGCTAGATGTTTAAATATTTTATACCCGTCAGATTTTTTTTCAGGGATTCGATCAGCTCGGGAAGTTTTGGCCGGGTTCTTTCAGGAAATTTTGGTTAGCCGAGCCAAGAGATTTATTTGTACGGAGCTTTTCACGGTCCTGTTTTTCTTCCCCGAGCCTTTTTATGTTGGTTTCTAAGTAACTGCTTTGAAGATTGTTATTTCTTTTCTATAATGGTAATAAACTACATTGTGACCCCTTTTTGGAGACAAAAAACAAAACAAAAACCCTGCCTATAAATCTTTTTATTTAAGATAAATCTTGTCTTGGTGCCTACTTGAGGTCACCTTGTCAAGATTTCTTTGAAAACTGGGTTCATACAGGGGGAAATAGTCTGGTTTTGTAACATTTACTCTTGAATATATTCTATGCAGAGCCCTTAAACAGATTAACACTGCCTTCTGAGTGGGCATTCCTGTTTATTAAAATTGCAAATTACCTCCAAATTAGGACTTTGTAGGAGGAGAGCTACTTTAACGTAAAAACTCAGGAATCTGGCAAGGACTTTTTCCGACTTTTTCCTCAAATTACAACTGTTCATTTAACCATGGTTCAAGGTCATGATGGCTTTGGAAAAAGTGACTTCTCACCTGTACTCAAACTTACAACCATGGAAGCAATTTGGAGTCACATGATCACAATCTGTGATTGCTTGGCAATTGGCTCATATTTATGACTGCTTACACCATCCTGTGGTCTTGTGATCACAATTTTTGGCTTTCTTCTTCTTCTTCTTCTTCTTCTTTTTTTTTTTTTTGCCAATTTCCAGCAAAAAAACATGCATGGGAGAACTGGGTTCACTTAACAGTCGACCATGGTGATTTGCTTAATGACCATCATACAATTGTTGTAAAATCAGGTCTGATTTGATTTATGATTTATGATGGAAATTCTAGTTCCAATTTTGATCATTAAGTTGAGGGCTACCTGTAACAAATTTTATTAAAGAGCATGAAGCAGTGGTGGGTTCCTCCCGGTTCGGGCCGGTTCTGCCGAGCCAGTAGCGGTGACGATATGACATCACCGAACCAGTTCTACCCCCCCACTGCCCCCCCGCCCCCCGCCCCCCACGTTATTGTTACCTTTTATTTGGCCCCACCCCCAATCTATTGCTGCCTCCTGAGTCCCAGCTGATGGGCTATAAGGAAAAAAACTATTTAAACGGGCCGCCCTACAGCTGATCAGAGGTAAAAGGCAGTTTGGTGGTAGACCGGTGCCTCCAAAAACAAATGAGTAGACCAGTGCCTGCAAAAATACATGAATAGACTGGTGCCTACAAAAATAAATGGGTAGACCAGTGCCTGCAAAAACAAATGGGTAGATTGGTACAGCTCTGCAAGCAGTTAAAAGCCTGGTAGACCAGTACCTCTGCTAAATCCTAAAGAATTGTCACATGACCATCAAGCCACGCCCACAAAATAAGCCACGCCCACAGAACCGGTAGTAAAAAAATTTAGACCCCACCCCTGGCATGAAGCATGAAAACAGAGAAGATCAGAACTCCCCTTGATAAAAATGGAAGAGGTCCCTGCAATCAGCGCAATGACACATATGGCTAGGACACCAAAGGAGGAAAATCTAACATTTTTTTTTCTTTAATATCTCGGTAAAATTCTGTTTTGAGGCCCAGATAAATAGATTCTTCTTTTTATGCAGCCAACTAAATGAACAGCCAACTTAAAATGAGACTGGTGATGACCTAACAAAAATTCAGCCTTAACCAAAAAGATTAACAGAGTTGGAAGGGACCTTATGGGTCATCTAGTCCAACCCCCCGCCCAAGCAGGAGACCCTACACCATTTCTGATAGATGGCAGTCCAGTCTCTTCTTGAAAGCTTCCAGTGATGAAGCTCCCACAACTTCCAAAGGCAACTGCTATTCCATTGGTTCTTACTGTCAGAAAATTTCTCCTTACATCTAGGTTAAATCTCTCCTTGATCAGTTTCCATCTGTCTGTCCCTTCAGGTGCTTTGGAAAATAGTTTGAGCCCCTTCCTCTCTGTGGCAGCCCCTCAAATATTGGAACACTGCTCTCATGTCTCCCCTGGTCCTTCTCTTCACTAAGCCTAAAAGTCTAAAAGCGGATTGAAAGTTTTATTTATTTAATATTGTGTTTGTGGTCCTTTGGATAGATCAAAAACCAGCATTTGTTAAAAAAAAAAAAACCTCCCCATGCAGCTTGGAAAGAAAACACCAGACCTCTAGACCTATCCATTCTTCCTGCACCTGAAATGAGTTACACAGGTAGTCCTTGACTTATGACCAATCACTTAGCAACTGTTCAAAGTTACAACAGACACCCCCAAGTGTAGAGTTAATTCTGAAATTCCAACAGCTCCCCCCCCCCCCCCCCCCCCCCCCACCAGTCCCCCCCCCACAACAGTCACATGATCACATTTTGGCGCTTCTCAACTGGCCCACATTTGTGGCTAGTTGCAGTGTCCCCCAATCAGATGACCACGTTGTACAATGCTTTTGCTGAAAACCAGTCATTGCTTCTAGTTTTTTTGCCAAAAACACTCCATAGCAACAATGGATTCACTTAACAACCACGGCAATTCATTTAATGACCACTCCAAAAAAAAAAAGTTGTAAAAGCAAGTGGGTCACACTTGCTTGACAAGCTTCACAACTTGATAATCTTCACAATAATCCCCTGGTTCAGGGGTCTGCAACCTTAAACACTCAAAGAGCCATTTGGACTGTTTCCCACAGAAAAGAAAACACCGGGAGCCACAAAATCCTTCCCGTGCCTGACTATTTCTTGAGCGGCCACAAAGCCAGCATATGTAGTCGAATTAAATGTCCTGTTTTCTTCTGAAACTTTTCTTTTCTTGGATTTATCCATGGTTGGCCTACCAGGGGTTGAAAAACTCAATAAATTGCGTGCCAGCGGGTGTCGCACATTGGCTGTTGTGACGCACATTTTGAGTGACAGGGAGCCACAGCAGAGGGGTGAAAGAGCCACATGTGGCTCCAGAGCTGCAGGTTGCTGACCCCTGCCCTGGTTATAAAAATGGGTGAAGGAAACCTTTCACAATTTTGTAGGTGGTGATTTTATAAAGCTGGGAAGACAACTCATGGTGCACGTGCTCGAGTCTAGCAGAACGTTAACAGACAATCCTCACTTCATCTAAAAAGTCCCCCCCCTTTTTTTTTATTGAAAAGTTTTATAGGAAATACAAACATTTTTGATGTTTGATTTAGGACCACAGTTGAGCTCAAAATTTCTATTGCTAAGTGGGACATTTGTTAAGTGAGTTTCGCCTCATTTTACAACCTTTTTTTCCATACAGTTGTTAAGTGAATCACTCAAGTTGTAAAGTTGCTAACATGATTGTTGAGTCTGGCTTCCCTGTTGACTTTGCTTCTCAGGAGGTCGCAAAAGGGGGTCACATGACCCCAAGGACACTGCAACCGTCATAAATATGAGCCAGTTGTCAAGCGGCTGAATTTTGATTCAGCCATGGGGATGCTGCAACGGTCGTAAGTGTGAAATGTGGTCATGAGTCACTTTTTTCAGTGCCATTGTAACTTCAAACGATCACTAAATGAATTGTTTGTAAGTTGGGGACTACCTGTATTAAGGCATCAATATTTTTTCTATGGACTGCTGAGAATCAACTCTCGTCGGTTATATCAGGCTAGGAACCAACCCTGACCAGTTCTTCATAATGTGTCATGCTACAGTGTCCATAATCCCCTATCCCAGTGATGGCTAACCTTTTTGCTGTCGTGTGCCAAAAGCGGGGGGAGCGGGGGGGTCGCAGGTGCGGGTGCCCACATCCATAATTCAATGCGCCCCGCCCTCCCGCGCATGTGCACGTGACCCCCCCATACTTCCCCCTGCTTTTGGCACGCGTTGGCCCAGTGGGCCCGGTAGGCCCGTTTTTTTCCCCTCCCCAGGCTCCAGAGGCTTTCTAGGAGCCTGGGGAGGGCAAAAACAGCCTTCCCCATCCCCCTGGAGACCTTCCGGAGGCCAGAAACAGCCAGTTTCCTGACTTCCGGTGGGACTGGAAGGCCTGAAAATCAATTGGCTGGTGCACACATCCGTGCTGGAGCTGAGCTAGGGCAACACTCGCGTGCCCACCAATATGGCTCTGCGTGCCACGTGTGGCACCCGTGGCATAGTTTCGCCATCACGGCCCTATCCCCTTCTGACCGCAGCTGGTGTACAGTTCATGCTTTAGGCTCTTCCAATCAGAGAGAAAAACAGAATGAGTATCACATAGATTCTGGTTATTATGATCGTATTTCTATATTTAATTTAACATTTAAGACTTCAGAATGATTTTTGTGACAAGATGGCAACAGCGTGTAACACACAAAAATAAGCACTCAGCATCACTCTTCCTATAGACTTAATATAGAAAGCTAAAGCAGCTCAATATAACCTTGTCTCCATGGCTGCCTTTGGTACCAGGGTGGGTTGCTACCGGTTCACCCCGGGTTGGGCAAACTGGTAGCGGCAGCGGCGAGAGGCTCCGCCCACTTGCCCGGACACTTCTGCGCATATGGAGGGAGGGAGGGAGGGAGGGAGGGAGGGAGGGAAGGAAGGAAAGAAGGAAGGAAGGAAGGAAGGAAGGAAGGAAGGAAGGAAGGAAGGAAGGAAGGAAGAATGGGAGGGAGGGAGGAAGGAAGGGAGGGAGGGCGGAAAGGAAAGGAAAGGAAGGAAAAGAAAGAAGGAAGGAAGGAAGGAAGGAAGGAAAGGACAGGACAGGACAGGACAGGACAGGACAGGACAGGAAAGGAAAGGAAAGGAAAGGAAAGGAAAGGAAAGGAAAGGAAAGGAAAGGAAAGGAAAGGAAAGGAAAGGAAAGGAAAGGAAGGTGCAAGCTATGCTGCGCAACATTAGTCACAAGGAAGCCAATTCAGCAGGATTCCTAGTAATGAGAACCCTTTTACATGGATTTCCTGGCAACCATTAGAGCTACGAGCTTGATTTTTTTAAAAAAAATGATGGATGCACTTTTATGGAAGGTACAACAGACAAAATAATGCAAGTCATTAATCTATCCATTAACCGTGCATTAATCATCAGAAAGCAAGTATAAGCAAGATTCCAGGTCAGAAGGCGCTAGTAGCAAAAGGAGCATCAGGTGGGTGAGCATTCCTATCAAGAAGCATCCAGGTAGTCCTTGACTAACAACTGCACTTGGGACTGGAACTGCCATTGCTAAGCAACATGGTCGTTAAATAAGTTATGTCTGATTTTGTTTTATTTTTCCCCATAGGTGTTAAGAAAATCCTGAGGTTGTTAAGCCAATCCAGCGTCCCCCAATTGGCCACGCCCACCCAGTCACATTACCCCAAGCCACGCCCACAGAACCAGTAGTAACAAATTTTAGATTTCACCCCACCCGCCCGGACGTCTCTGTGCATGCGCCGCAGCTTCTGCACACGCGCAGAAGCATTGCAGGCGCACACAAGCGGACGCGCACACACAAGCGAACCGGTAGCGACAGGATTTGAATCCCACTACTGCCGCTCAGGCTCCGTTTCTGCTGGCAGAGGGTGAGGAGGTCGTCACAGCCGAAAACAGAGCCTCAACAAGTGATGTCGAGCTGGCCACTCCCACCCTGACCACACCCACCCCGGCCCCCAGAGGTCAAACACAATCCTGATGCGGTCCTCAATGAAATTGAGTTTGACACCCCTGACCTAGATCAGGGGTTAGCAACCCGCGGCTCTGGAGCCAAATGCAGCTCTTTCATCCCTCTGCTGCGGCTCCCTGTTGCCAGTTGGCTCCACAATTGATAGGGCTTTCGGTTAGGACAGGTAGAGGAAAGAGGATGCCGCGCAGGAGGAGACTCTATGGTGGGGGAACCCGACTTCCGGTCGGCAAGGGAAAAAGGACACTGTGCTAGGAGGAGACTCTATGGTGGGGGAACCAGACTTCCCGTCGGCTCCAGAATTGAACGGGGGGCTTCCGGTTAGGACCTTTGTGGCTCTTTGACTGTTTAAGGTTGCCGACCCCTGTCCTAGATGATCCTCTGGCTGAACCTTTATGTATTATTTCTTAGTAATCCTGGATGAAATGAAGAAGGATGAACAACTAGAGGATGAATAATTTGCGTCTTATTTTCACAAAACAAACCCCCCAAAAAAAGTGGGTGGGAGGAACTGTGACATAACAGGCCAGTCAACGTGACAATCATTCCTGCAAAGTTTTTGGTACAGATCGTAAAACGAATACTCTTTAAGCACCTTGAAAGCTGAAACTAGAATTTAGTATGGTTTTGTTAAGAACGGTGTTTCCAGACCAACCCAATCTCCTTTAGTAACCTCCTGAATAAATCTACAACAAACTATTGTTATAATATCTCTTGATTTCAACAAAGCACTTGACAAAATGCTCTTATTGCTAGCAAGCTTGTTAAGCATGTGTTGAATGGTATGACAACTACCTAAGTGGATACATAGCTGGCTTAAAATCGTATCCAAAGAAATGTTCATCTGTGGCTCTTCGTTAAACTGGAGGGAGGTATTTAGTGGGATGTCAAAAGTTTCAGCTCTTCATATTAATGAACTGAATGAGGAGACAAAATAAATGCTTATCACGCTTGCAAGTAATCCAGAATTGGATACTT